GTAGGGAAATGCCCTTTTTTATAGACCGAAGTCGGGCAGACAAAGAGTCACCTGGAAGCTCGCGCGTCGTTTCGCGTCAGCCAATCAGAAACAAGATAGGGGTGGGCCAAATATGTCATGGGCCTCGGAACCACATCGGCGAGCCCAAAGCCCATCTACTCGCCGACTAGGGGACTACTGTTGGGCACGGGCTTCAACAATAGTTACTCTATAAGCCCATTTCCGAAGAAACCCAGCCGGCAGAAGCCCGACGAGCTCGGCCCAGAAGGTGGAAGCCCAACGAGCTCGTTTTAGTAATTAATGATTCGGGCCCGAAGGAAGCCCAGTCATCTTCTGAAGTGGATGACATCGGCGCCGGTCCCGAGGAAACCCTAGTACCTTACTCACTCTATTTTTAGTATAAATAGAGGACCCCATCCCATGAGTTAAATATGTTTTTTCTATTCTGGGGCAAGTATAAAAGAATTTGAGAGCTAAAAACAATCATTCTCTGACACCACAAAGGAAAGAATCCCCTGATTGAGCTCGATTGATCAAAAACACAAGAATTGTTCGCTGAAAGACTTAGCAGAATTTATACTCGTTACTCCCAGATGCCGACCTAAAATACTCATTCAGCTAGCTCGATTTGCACGGCCTAGAAAACAGCGACCTCGTATCTTCCAAGCTCGATACATAGTTCTTTTTCTGTTACTTATAATATCATTTGCTGTAACCCATTCTGAGTTAGCATCATTAACGGGAATTTCCGATCCTTTACCGAATACAAATATATTGTCGAATTCATGGATCAACAAGATTCAATAAAAAAAGGTTTTGAGATTTGTTTGGTATTTCTTTTTTTACATTGCTGGTTGAATGAGTTCTTGTTTGTTTCAAATAGATGGAAGGCAAGGATGGGCTGAGTTTGCACCTTATGATGCTATTCATGTCGGAGCAGCAGCACNGGAGATCCCAGAAGCATTGATTGATCAATTGAAACCTGGTGGGAGACTGGTGATCCCCGTTGGGAACTTATTCCAAGATCTGAAAGTGGTGGATAAGAACTCAGATGGTTCAGTTAGCATCAAGAGCGAAACTTCAGTCCGATATGTTCCTTTGACTAGCCGTGACAGGGAACTGATTATGCTCGGTGTACAGAACAATGAATCTAGTAAGCTTCACTTGGGTTTCTAAACTACACTCCTGTAGGGACTCGAGATTTTAAATCTTATAACATCTCTTTGCTAGTAACACTTTCAAATGAGTAAAACATGTTTATTGTAGACAGAACATAATAGTAAGCATTTTATATATAATGCCTTAGTTAACTAGTAGATGATGCAATGACGTAGAGAGGGAACATGCGGCGAATCACACTACCGATTGATTCAGCAACTTCGGTCTCATCTTCTGTGGATTTCCAATCAAACCCATGCATTAAGTTAGCCAAAACCACCTCATTCAACACCACAGCAAATGATGTTCCTGGGCACATCCTTCTCCCTGCTCCAAATGGAATCAGCTCAAAATCCTGGCCCCGGAAATCAGCCGACGACTCTAAATGTCTCTCCGGTCTAAACTCATTCGCGTCTGGTCCCCATGTCGCAGTCTCTCTCCCGATCGCCCAAAGATTGACCATAACNTGCNTACCAGCGGGTATGTGGTGATCTCTTAGTTTGACANCTNCTGTTGATTCGTGAGGAACCATCAATGGAACTGGAGGATGTAGCCTGAGTGTCTCTTTGATCACAGCTCTCAAGTAGTTCATGTGTTGAATGTCGTCCTCTGTTACACTTGATCTGCCCTTACAGAGTGTACGGACTTCGTCTTGAAGCCTTTTTAGACAATCTGGGTGACTTAGAAGCTCTGTCATTTCCCATTCCAAAAGCGTGGAGGATGTATCTGTACCACCCACAAAAACATCCTGAAAAGAAGTTAAAAATGAAACAAGAACTATGGTTATAACTTATAATATACACTAAACAATACTGGATGTGAATTCAATTTCTTTTCTTTTTTGTTGTTCCTTTACTTACCAAGACGATTGCTTTTATGCTTAACCTATCAACCTCAAACCCGATGCTCTTCTCTTTCTGAATGCCGAGTAATACATCGACAAAATCGGTCTTATCGAACTTTCTAGCTTCATGTTCCTGCACAACTCTCTCCAAGAGCTTATCAAAATCATTTGCCGTCTTCTCGAGTCGAGCCTCCAAACCGCTGACCCAATCAATCCACCCAAGCCACGGTACATAACTCCCGATACTAAACGTACCCAATTGCCTCATGAGCCTGTCTATTAACTCTTTAAAATCCGTTCCAGCACCGTATTTCCGTCCCAAAGCAATTCTACATATAACATCGTTAGTTAAACACGCCGTGAGCGAGCTTAGATTCATTGGCGAAGAACCCAATTTACGGATCTTTTCCATCATCAGACCGATCTCTTCTTGTCTCACCTCTCGAAAGGAACGTACCATTTTGTTGCTTAGGAGATGGATGACACTCACGCTCTTCATTTGTCTCCAGTACTCTCCATAAGGAGCTGATGCCATATTACGGCTACCGTAAAGAAGCTTTTCGAATATTTTGGACCGTGGACGGTTTGCGAAAACGCGGTCATGCGTCTTCAAAACGTCTCGGGCAGCGTCCGCGGAAGAGACTACAAGAACAGGGACACTGGCAAAGTGGAGGAGCATGAGAGGACCGTAACGGTGGCTGAGGCTGCATAGTGATCGGTGAGGATGGTGGCCGAGTTGGTGAAGGTTTCCGATCAGCGGCAGTCCCGTTGGTGATGGCAATGTGTTGATTGTTTTCCCTTTCGTCTGTTTTTTGAAGAAGAGAATGGTAATACAAAGTATTAAGCATAAGAAAAGTATGAAGATCATATTTTGTAAATTTGGATTCTTCAAGCTCTTCAAGTTTTTCTCGTGAAGAGTCTTCTTAAGATTTTTGTGTTCTTCTAGTGGACTTGGGTAAATATATAAAGCCAAGTCTCTTCTATACGTTACGTTACTGGTGTCCAGTCAAATTTTTTTCTTTTTTTCGCTAAAATGGGAAATAAATTTAATTAAATATAATTCTCTCAAATCCTATGTAATGAAAGGTAAAGAATCTCTCTATATAAAGCACATTACAATAAGTTGGCACGTAATTTTGAATTGCTCTCTAAAGATAAAATAAACAAAAATTATCTTTGACCAAACAAAAATAAAATTACATTTTACTTTTAGAATGTTTCAAATACCTTCTTTGTTTGACTTTTTAATAGCCACAAGGTTCACAAAAAAACTATTTATCTCCTAAAAGATATATTCCTTATTTGCATATTTCAGATCATTTGAAAGTTTTGTTGTTGTAATTCTACACCTATTTATAAAAGCTAATAAGAATATTTAAATCTCAATGCTAATAACTTTGAGGAAAATTTTAGAAATACATTTGAAACCAACCATAGTTTAAATTATTTTTTATTTTTTTAACACTGCATTTTATTGTTATTCTATTACAAATTATGAAAATTATAACATAGATTAATATATTATTTTGATTCAAACATCTCTTCGCTAGTAACACTTTCAAATGAGTAAACATGTTTACTGCACTTGACATAATAAAGCATCTCTCTTCTATATATAATCCAAGTCAAGTACTAGATGATGCAATGGCATAGAGAGGGAACATGCGGTGAATCGCAATACCGGTTGATTCAGCGACACTGGTTTGATCATTTGTAGCTTCGACAGGTAATCTCCAGTCAAACCCATGCATTAAGTTAGCCAAAACCATCTCATTCAATACCACAGCAAATGATATTGCTGGACAAATCCTTCTCCCTGCTCCAAACGGAATCAACTCAAAATCTTGACCCCGAAAATCAATAGACGAATCTAAATGCCTCTCCGGTCTAAACTCATCTGCCTCTGGTCCCCATGTTGCGGCCTCTCTCCCGACCGCCCAAGCATTGATCATAACCTGTGTACCAGCAGGTATGTGGTAATCTCTTAATGTGACATCGTGTGTTGATTCGTGAGAAACCATTAATGGAAGTGGAGGATGTAGCCTGAATGTCTCTTTGATCACAGCTTTTAAGTACTTCATGTGTTGAATGTCATCTTCTGATACACTTGATTTGTCCTTACAAATCATACGGACTTCTTCTTGGAGTGTTTTCAGACACTCTGGGTGACGTAGAAGCTCTGTCATTGCCCATTCCATAAGTGTGTATGTTGTGTCCGTACCAGCCACAAAAACATCCTAAAAATTACAAAACAAGAACTAAGGTTATATACCGAAACATCATACAATCTAAACGTCATAAAAAAGTGTGTATTAATTGTTCGTTTACCAAGATGATTGCCTTTATGCTGAGTCTGTCGATTTCGAACCCAACGCTCTTTTCTCTCTGAACCGTGAGCAATACATCGACAAAATCAGTTCCATCTCCATCACCATCTACATGATCTTGCACAACTCTCTCAAAGAACTCATCAAGATCATTTGCTGTCTTTTCTAGCTGACCATCCAAACCGCGAATCCAATCAATCCAAGCAAGCCAAGGGACATAAGTCCCCACACTAACCACGCCTAATAGCCTCGTGAACCTCTCCATTAACTCCTTAAAATCCGCTTCACCACCGTATTTTCTTCCCAAAGCAATTCGACATATAACATCGTTGGTTAAACTAGCCAAGAGCTTGCTTAGATTTACCCTCAAAGAACTTGATTTCTGAATCTTTTCCATCATCAGAATGATCTCTTCTTCTCTCACGTCTCGAAAGGACCGTACCATTTTGTTGCTAAGGAGATGAAGAACACAGACACTCTTCATCTGCCTCCAATACTCTCCATAAGGAGCTGAGGCCACATCACGACCGTCGTAAAGAAGCTTTTCGAAGATTTTCGTCCGTGGACGGCTCGCAAAAACGCGGTCGTGCGTCTTCAAAACGTCTCGAGCCGCGTCTGCGGAAGAGACTACAAGAACGGGGACACTGCCGAAGTGAAGGAGCATGAGAGGACCGTATCGGTGGCTGAGAAAGCATAGGGATCGGTGTGGGTGGCGGCCGAGCTGATGGAGGTTCCCGATGAACGGAAGTCTCGGTGGTGACGTTGGTGCGTTTGTTTTCTTCCGTGCAGTTTGTTTTTGGAAGATGAGAATGGTTATAAAGATTACTG